ATGGAAGAAGAATCATCTGTTTATTTTCTTAGGAAAATGGCTGAGATGCCATTTCTTGACAATGTAACCATGGACCTGCCAAATTTTAAGTATAAAGTTTTCTTGAAAAATCCTAAATGCATAAGTTACGTGCTTGTGAGAAGCTTTAAAGCCTGAAATGAAGCTTGTTAAGCTTTAGAAACATGCCTGAGTGTCAACTACTGCTTTGATTCCTCCTGTTCTTGAAATTAATAATTTAAACCATATTATACATATATAAAATGTGTAATTATGGACCAGCAGTGTTGGCTACTTGATTACTGGCTTCTTGGTTACTGTTTTGCCTTTTTTGCCTTTCAGGGATCTTCTGTTAGCTATTTAATAAAAGAATAAAGAAAATATATTTAATAAAATAATATTTAATAAATAAATAAATTATAAAATATTATTTAATAAAATAATAAAGTCATAAAATGTAAAAAATAATCACCACCTCTTCAAAACTGTAAATACTCTAGAATCAGGCAGAATTGGGGCATAAAATGTGAGTTACAGAGTGACAGAATGGTTTGGTTTGGAAGGCACCTTTGTTGGGATCCATGGTGGATTTGAAGCAGCAGATGCGAAGTGGTGGGCGTGGTTCATCTCAGAGGAATCCTGGCTGTGCCCTTGTATTTCTGTGCTGCAGGATCTGCCAAAGCACCCTGCTTTCCTCAGGAATACGTAGCCATTTAATTGCCTCTTCAGCCTGGACTTGGTATTTGCTGCAAGGAGGACAGGATCTGCGTGGTGCTGGAAGTAGTGAAGGTGTTAATAAAAAAACATCACTGAGGTTGGTTGTGGGTCTTTGGGAGCACTCTGAACAGGGACATTAAATCAAGGGGACAACTGCAACTGCTGCCTGCGGAGAGCTGGGCTGTAAATCAAACCACCCTGCAGCCTCCTCCACAAAGACAGGCTCAGTAACCACAGAAATCTGCTTTTTGGGGCTACTTTGTCTCATCAGGGTCCCTTCATGCTTTCCCCTGCTCCATGTGCTTTGATTGTCTGAGAAAAGCAGGAGAGCAGTGCCAGTGGCACCTGCCAGGTCATTCCTCAGCACTGTCCCAGGCAGGGCAGGTTGTTCCACCCTCAGCTGCTGGATTTGGTGGGATTTCTGCGTTTTGTTGCCAAGCTGGGGAAACTCGCCTCAGTTACGCCAGCAGGATGAGTTGGCTTCTGGCTGTGAGTTTAAGGCAGTGACCAGAAATACATTTTGTCTATCCCAGGTCAGAAAATCACAGATTGGTTTGGGATGGGAGGGACCTGAAAGTTCAACTCATCCCACCCCAGCCATGGCAGGGACACCTCCCACTGTCCCAGTGTCCAGCCTGGCCTTGGGCACTGCCAGGGATCCAGGGGTGCCACAGCTGTGCCAGGGCTGCCCACCCTGCCAGGGAACAATTCCTGATTCCCAAAATCCAGCATAACCCCAGGTGAGTAGCATGGAGAAGCTGTGTACAATTACTGTGCCACCAACAGCTTTATTACTGTGGTTTACACCTTCTGTCAGGGTTATAAAAGTTTCCTGTGTCATTACAGTTCCTTAACGTTGTGCTTGCAGCTTAGTGATTCCATAGTAATAGATTTCCCATTGTAGTAATTCCATTATTAGAGGAAAATCCCTTTGACCTCAAGTTGCACACGTTTGAAGTTCCATGTGTGCAGTTGCTGTTCTGGCTGTGGGACTCGGGGTCAGTCTGAAGAGAAGAAATCTTCCTGCCTTCTTTCTGAATGTGTAGAGTTGGATTATATTAACAGGTAAGTTATTATTGATGTGTATGAAAATAAGGAATAAAAAAGAAGATAGACCATGAATTTAAGAACATAAATTACTCGTATGATCTTTAGTGAAGAATTTTTACTTAAATGTTGCTTCATTACATTTCAGTAAATGTGGTCAGAAATTGGAAGGAAGGGAAAAACTTATATCCTCTTTATTAATTACATCACTGTTTCCTTTTCCTAAACGGAAGAGATTACGGGGTGCATGTTTTATTAATTCTGCCTTTTCCTGACCTGGTGACTGCTGGGAAGATGTCTGGAATCAATTGGCACTGACTTTTTGGTGTTTGCTGGTAGGATCCCTGCATGAACTTTTTGACACCCCTGTGTGAATTTATTTTTGCAAAGCAACATCATGCAAACCAGGCTGGGGAAGAGGCAGTTCCAGGCACAAATCCCCTGCACTATCATCAATGGAGAGACCATAAATGTTGTGATGGATGCTTGAAGGCAGTTTAATGGTAGCACTGGAGAAAATAGAAGCCATTACCCCTGGAAGAGCTCCAGTTATGACAGAGAAAATAAATGGTGCTGTTACAAGAGATGTACTGACAACAGAATTCCTGCTGGCTGGGAAGGAGAGCAGCAGAGCACGGTACAGAAACCTACAGACAATTACCCCTTATCTGAAGTAATGTTTATTTTTGGTTTAAATCCCACACGGAGACTGCTTGATAAAACGACTTAATCCAATCTGATGGAAGTTTAGTCTTAATTAGTTGAACTTTAAGGCCCCTCCCAACCCAAACCATTCCAGAACTCTGTGATTTGTTTTCAATCTACCCCATGGAACATTTAGTGTCTTGCATCCATCTCTCTCTCTCCCAGTTTTTTATAATGGGAGGAGTTGAGGCAGCAGCTACAGCAGCAGGCACAGAACATCCTCACACATCTTTCCTGCGTCACCTAGGAGAGAGGTCTTTCTACTGAAAATAAATGAAGCAACATTTTGAGCTTCCAAATTCAGCAGAGCTGGTGCCTGCCTGTGGAAGTATTCCTTCCCCATCTCAGCAGGGTCAGGAGGGATACGCAGATGTGTGATGGATTCCAGCCTGTGGTGCTGAACAGGCACTGCTGTAAATCAGCCTCATAGCTGGATAGATCCAAAATCATAGACAGATCCAAGAAATAATGCTGTTGATTTCAAATAAACTGTGTGTCAGAGTATTACTGCCCAGAAGAGTTGTGGGCAACCTGCAAATGGGTTCTTGCAGTACTACACCTACGAGTGCTTGTGGGAACTGACTTGAAACTGTCACACTGCCCTGGTGCATGACTGGAAAAAGATTAACTGAAAACAAAAAGTGACAATTATTACATATTGTTTGTACTGTTTTGGGTTTTTTCTTCATGAAGTCCCAGTAAGACTTTACATTTTTGGTGTAACCGAAATGCAGTTACAGGCTGGCATGGGACCAGCCCAGATGAAGGGCAGAATTGCTGCCCTGATGTTTTGCTGAGGATATATTTCAGTGCATGTGGAGTGTCATCCTTCTGCCAGGTAAGTGCAGCAGGCAGCGAGCTAATGCTAATGAAGCTGATGCAGCACAAACTTTCATTAATTTTCACCCTCCTGACAGTGTTTGAGAAGGGCTCGGGGTCCATCCCACCACGGACACCTCACCCTCTCTCAGGGCAGGCTGGGGCCTGGCAGTGAGAGGTTCCCCACTGCCAATTCTGAAATCATCAGGGCTTTGATAACTCCTGCATTTTTACTGGCAGCACGCCCAAGGCTCCTCCTCAGAGCTGCTGTGTCAGTGGTTTAACCTTGAGTGTACATCAGGGCCTCGCAGGATGTGTACAGGATTTGGAAGGCGGCGTTTGACTCCACCAGAGCTGATGCTCTCTGAGTGTTTTCCCTGATGCTCCACAAGTTTCTCATCCCCACCTCAGCCTTTTCCCTTTCTAAAGGCTGCTCCTCGATGGCTCTTGGCTCAGGATTTCTTTCGGTTTCTTGTGCTTCTGTGGTTTTCCTGGGAGTGTGTGACACATTCCTGTCTTTTGTAGTGTTTCAGTGTCACTCTGTTGCCAGGTAAGAAGAAGGGGGACTAAAGAATGATGTGGAATGTAAAGGTAATAGACTGTTTTAAAAAATCAAGTCTGGCCTCCATGTGTCACTCACTGGTAGTTTGCTGAGGCACGGAGTGCAGGGCAAAATCAAATACTGGTGGGTCAGGATATTTGGGAATAACTTCAGGCTGAATATTCAGCTTTGGGAATTGTCTTCATGCCTTGTTAAGAGAGCTGAGTCATTTAAGCCCAGGTTACTTCTCTTTCTGGGAGTTTGTGAAGCTTTCTCAAATCTTTTGCACCATTTACTGTTTTTTTTTTTTTTAACTTTGTGGGATAGTTTTGTAAACATTATTAGCTATATACTTTTTTTGCTGTCTTCAACGTGTACCATTGGCACAATCCATGTATTTTCTGGAATTATTTTGAGGCCTAAGTTAATTTGGGCAGATAATGAAAAGGGGGTTTTAATTCAAAATACTACTCTTTCTCAAAGAAAAGCTGCATCAATTCACTTCTGACAACAGCAGATGGTAGCATTCTTATGCAAGTTATCTGTTTGCAGTGGGAAACAAAGCTTTCTGAACACCTTTTTTTTCTGTATTCTGAAGGTGGTGGGAGTTTTCTAAAGTTCTCTTAGACATAAAGGGATTGATCCTCATGAGAACATTTTCAGCATCAGAAAAAAGTGGAAGCTGAAGTCACCTTGGGAGCACTTCCTTCTCCCCTCTTGCTGCCTCTCCAGACGGAACCACGCGTATTCCCAGCACCAGCCTGAGGAGACACCAGGCGCGGGGTGGTTGAAGACCATTTTTTCCGGAGGGGAATGGGTTTTTTGTGTTACATTTGTGGTTTACAGAGTAGCTTTGCCTCTCCTCGGCCAGTTAATGCTGATACAGTAACTCGAGTTACTTCAGAAAACCATTTCATTTTAACTGAAATAGTGGTATAGCCTGGTTGCTGATCTTACTTCCCTCTCAACAGAGGAGAATGTGTACCATTGATGTGTAATGTATTCAGTGTACATTAATTTGTCATGACTGTGATAGGAAGAGCAATGTGAGCTGAGATTCTGAAGTGAGAATTGCATCAGGGGCTGATTGCACCCTGCCTTGTCTTTTCCAGATGCACCTGATGAGTTTTCTGCTTTTCCCTTCCATGACAAAGCAAATTCTGTTCCCTCCTAGGAGCACCCCATCCTCGGGCAGCCTTTCTTTGTCCTGCACCCCTGTCGAACCACTGAATTCATCTCAGCTGTGCTGGGAGGCTCACAGCAGCACCACAGGTGAGGGGCACTGCTGGGCCCTGCGAGGCTTTCTGCAGTGCAGGGTGGGAATGGCCACAGCTCCTTCCTTAGTGCCAGCACAAAAAGACTCCTGCATTGTCACTTTAGGCCTCAAAATACATTTTGATAGGAAAAAGGAAGGAACAGCCCCATCTGAAGTTGTTTTGTGAGAGTTTTGTTGAGTCTGTCTGCAATTTCAAAAAATCTGGGATAATACATTTATGGTGTTTTTTTTGTGTTTTTTGTTTTTCTTTTCCCCCTAGAAACACAAATTACATCACACTGTGGCTCAGTACTGTAGGCCCAGTTGTGGGCCTGAATCTGCCTTTGAGTTATGCAAGACTGGCACCTGAGCAGAGCACAGCTGTGGCTGACAGGTAAGAGAGAAGGAACTCATCCTTTCCTCTCCCATCCTGCTGTTCCAAGGTTCAGATGGATAAATGGCACAACCATTACCTCCTCCTTAGCAGCTCTCCGTTCAGTTAGTTTAAGACTCACCTTTCAGTGCTTTGCTCACCTGCCTGCCTTGTTGCCTCACTTGCTTTGCAGAGAGAGTTGCTCAGCCCGTTGCTGACATCCTTCATGAGTCCAGAGGGCCCCTGAGCTCCTGGGGTCTCTCTCAGGTGTGGAGAAATGTTTTATATTGGTTCCCTCAGCAGAGGGTTGGGGGTCTGGCATAACTGCTACAAGGATTTTAAATTAACTCCTTTTTTTTGTGTTTGCTGTTGCCTCTCCAGAGCCCTGAGCTGAACGACTGGGAGTGGTTAGGTGTGAAAAAGCTGCTGCAGACTTCCCTGGGGATGAAGTTAAAGGATGCTTCCTGGCTGGTTAGCCATGCCAAAGTGGAAATGGTTGCTCATGGCTCTTTCTCTGGCCAGAACTGGACACTGATGAGGGTGGGAACTGGCTGCAGCTGTGGGAGCAGCTCCCCAGCCCCACCCAGGCCTGGCCTCCCTTGAAGTCACTCATCTCCTGCCTCCTGTGCCCCTGCCCTTGCTGAGGCCGCACACAGATCCACCAGCCAGAGCAAATCCGGAGTTGCTGGATTTACTGAACTTACCTCTAGAAAATCTGCACCATCTGTGGGGCAGAAAATGCAGTATAAGCACAGAGGAATGCTCGTGGGACGCGGTGTGAGCTTGTGGCAACGAGAGTATGGCTGAGACCGCTTCACCTGGGAGCCACCCTGTCCAGCAGAGCCTGCTGCGGGCCCAGCCCAGCGCGCAGAACACCCTCATCCCGGGATTTGCCCCTCGGGGAGCAGGTCCAGCTCTGCAGCTCAGGTGCCTGAGCAGCCGTGTGGGAACATCTGGCTCTGCCGTGCTCCGCTGCCTGCCAGGGAAGCGCTCCGAGCCCCGGGGAGCTGCTGCTGTTCCCAGTCAGCGTTTCTCGGGTTGTTCACAGGTTTGCTCCCTACCCTGCGCTACTTCTGCAGCCTCCCCTGGCAGCTGTTGCTTTTTGGGGAGCTGCCTGGCGGTGCTGCCACTGAGAACCAGATGATGAGGAACTTCCCTGCCACCCTCCTGGCTTCTCTCCCAGCCCCATTTCATTTGCAGTGTTAAACAGAGTCTGAGCAGCTGACACTGGAACACAGGTTTTACTCTGTGCATTCAGCAATTGTCACTGCACGCAGGGTTAGGGCTGGGAGTGTGAAATGCATCCCAGATTCTGTTTTTTCAGATGATGTTTTTAACTTGCCATTGGTGGGTATGGAACACAGAGTGCAGTCCTTCAAATTCCATCAATGCGGAATTTGTTTGCCAGACATTTGGAATTAATAATTAAAGCACATTGTTTATTTTGTTCTGTGTCAATCTAACCTGGAAAGCCATCTTTCCCATGTAAGATTTACAAAAAATGGCTCGCAGCTACATTGGCTTTTTTAACACTTTTGGTAACACATCCACAGCCCATTTTTAAATTTCAGTGAGACTTAGGATGAAGAACCAACAAAAAGAGGTAACAGCAGGTTTAAGAGATGTTAAACATTCACCCCTGCTCTGTGATCTTCACTTGTGATACCCTGGAACAGAAGAAGCACTCAACCTCCAAAATGTGGAATTTATATGTAAAGGAAAATAAATATTTGTATTTTACATGGAACAAGTCTCAATACCCATTGCTTTCTACCTTAATTCACCATTTGCAAAGAAAAATCAGGATTATTTGACCAGGGCATTACACTGGGCTCAAACAGTGAGGTGACAGTGCAGTGTCTAATCAGTATCAACATTTCCCTGAAATTTGCCTGGAAAACCAAGATTCAGCTTGGTTAGTAGAAATACATGGAGGTTGGATAGAGAAACAAGTACAGGCTAACATAAATATTTGGGAGATAAATAAGCCTCTTTGGGTATCTCCTTTTCAATGGCTGGGGTGGGAGGTAGGTAACCAATTTCCTGTTTACATTTATACCTGGATGACTTAGGATATCTTAGCTGAATTTTTGTGCACAAAAATTATATAATTTTAAAAAAATTAAGCAAATCATGGCACTGTTTTGTGATTATATTTTATGTTGTGATTCATTATTTAGTGAAACTATTGAAGATCCTTAGACCTGAGCTTGGGTTTTGTCTAAATGCATTGTCTGAACTCCTGCATCCTACCAAGGAGAAAATTTCCAGTTTAGATTTGTAAATTTGCGCATTTGTTCACCTTTGCTAATCTGGGAAGACACAAAAGGGAGGTTCTTTACTTCTGGGGAGCTCTTGCAACAGAGAACAGTCTCACACCTGCCCTGCGTTGCCAGAATCATCAAGAGCAATTAATTTTATGTGTTCACCTGAGCCAAAGAAATGTGTTTTTCTGGGGAGTGCAGTTGGTAGCCACAGAGGTAATCCCTCATTTGTGTCAGCATGACCAGGTAAGAATTTAACCCCCTGCCAGGAGATTTGAGCTTGCCTGGCCTTGCTTACCAACAGGAACATTCCATGCAGGAAATGTGGAGCTGTTTAATTACAGCTAAATACAGTCAAGTAATCAGTGTCAATTTTTGCTGCAACTCCATGAATTTCAGCAAAACTTGCTCAGTAACTTTTCTCCCCCTCCTTCTTTGCTATGATGATGGTTTCATGAGCCTGTTTGGACATCTGTATTTATATTGCACACGTATAAACTCAGTTCCAGCACAAAGGAAGGACGATTACTCTTCCCTCTGAATGGTGAAGTTACAATTATTTCCTCCCAAATACTCTCTTTTAGAGAACAGCGTGTGTATGGGTATTTATACCTGTTTTTAACATGTAGGCTTTTAAAAGTGTTTCAAGGAATTTACTGCATTTTTAGCAATAAATTCTTACCACCTGGAATAAAAAAAAAATTGCCTGAAGCTGAGAGCTGCAAAAGTAACCCTGTACTGAGTGCTCAGGATCTCAGGATTAGGAAGGTGTCACAGAGGTTGTTATCTCTTGGATTTCGGAAAATCTTAAAAAACCCTGCACCACGCGGAAGCTTTCAGTGCCTCACTTGAGAGCTTCTTGTAGCTGTCACCTCCTGAAGACAAATTCACCTTAAAGGCAGAGGGATTTCACTGCTGTGTTTGAACAGAGAATGGATTTATGGAGCACCCTCTTAACACCTTCCTCAAGTGTCTTACAAAACAACATCTCCTGCAGCAGCACTGTTACTCAGTCAGGTGTTGCTGGTGTCAGATGGTTGGCCAGCTGCTTTAATAAGTGAAAACAGTAATTACTTCTGGTGATGAGGTGGAAAATGTGGCCAGCTGTGGATTCTCCTCTCTCTTGGAGGATGTTGGGTTAGGGAGCCATTCCCTGGCTCCTGTCCCTGCAGCCCGTGTCCATTGTCTCTCTCCATCTTCCCTGCGAGGCCGCCCTGAGCTCAGCCCAAAGCTTCTCCTGCCGGGTGAGCGATGCCGGCTGTGCCAGCCTTTCCTGCCAGCAGAGCTGCTGCATCCCCTGCTCGTCCTGGAGCCTCCTCTGGGCTCCTGCAGCAGCTCCAGCTCCTGCCGGGCCGGCCCAGGGCTGGGGCAGCTCTGCAGGTGGCTCTGAGCTGAGGGGCAGAGGGGCAGAATGGCCCTGGCGGCTGCCCCCGCTGGGCTGGGCCCAAACAGGGTTTGGGATTTGGGCCGGGCCCGCACAGGGTTTGGGATTGGGATCTGGGCTCAGCCCAGCTCAGGGTTTGGGATTTGGGCTGGGCTCAGCTCAGGGTTTGGGATTCGGGATCTGGGCTCAGCTCAGCTCAGGGTTTGGGCTCAGCCCAGCACAGGGTTTGGGCTCAGCCCAGCTCAGGGTTTGGGCTCTGGGCTGGGCCCAGCTCAGGGTTTGGGCTCTGGGCTGGGCCCAGCTCAGGGTTTGGGCTCTGGGCTGGGCTCAGCTCAGGGTTTGGGCTCAGCCCAGCTCAGGGTTTGGGCTCTGGGCTGGGCCCAGCTCAGGGTTTGGGCTCTGGGCTCGGCCCAGCTCGGGGTTTGGGCTCTGGGCTCAGCCCAGCTCAGGGTTTGGGCTCAGCCCAGCTCAGGGTTTGGGCTCTGGGCTCATCCCAGCTCAGGATTTGGGCTCTGGGCTGGGCCCGCACAGGGTTTGGCCTGGGCCCAGCTCAGGGTTTGGGCTCTGGGCTCAGCCCAGCTCAGGGTTTGGGCTCTGGGCTCGGCCCAGCTCAGGCTCTGGGCCCCGGGCTCGGCCCGGATCTCTCCCGTGCCCCCCTGGAGCCCGGTTTACCCGGTTTTCCCGCATTTCCCCGTTTCCTTGCCCGCAGCCCACACGAGGTCTCGGCTCCGGCATTTCCGTTCCCGTTCTGCTCCTGCCGCGCCCCCTGGTGGCGACACGGCCGCACGACAGCGCCCGCCGAGTGGGGACAGTCCCCAGTCCCCTTCCCGCCGCCTCCCCCAGCAGGGACCACACGAACCTCGGGAGATTCCCAGCGTATTCTTACATTCCTTTTCCATTTTTTACATAAATAACTGAATTCTCACGAGTTCCTATACAATTAAGTGTATTATTTGTATCAGAGCCTTTCCTTCACCACACAGTTCTAATGAGGGAATTGTTCACTCTGACTTCAGCCAGATAACCTCAAAATAAATGTTTTGAGGTTGTAGTGCACTAAGAAACTGAACTATGCATTTTTTATCTGCCGAAGTAGGTAAAAATGTAGACACCCAAGTCAGTGCACAGCAGTGCTGTACTGAACTGGTGTCTCCAAACTGGGCAGACTTGCCCCAAACGAAGCAGTTAATTTGTACTCAAAAAAGTGAAACTCTCTGGGTCAGGCAGATGTTTCAATCAACCCCTTCAGGGCCCAAAGCTGGTGAGTTCTGTGCCTGTACTCACACACCTGAGACCATTTTTCACGTGAGGAAGGCTCTTTTTCACAATTATGCATTAAAATTAATGCAGTTTGTCACGCCTTGAGGGGATATTTTCATTCCTGATTAGCAGTCCTAAACAAACACTAAGGTTTGGGTTATTTCTTTGGCCAGATGTAGGGAGAAATTCAATGTTTTAATGCTAAGATTTCTGTGCCCGCAGCAACCCCTGAATAAGAAGCAGAGAACTTTAAAACCCAAGGTTTTATTGGTGTTCTTGTCAGAGCGGTGAGGGATTGATTTAGGACCTGGGTCTCTCCTTCTTGCCCTTGTAGAGGGCCAGCAGGGACACGTTGGCCACCTTGACCACCTTGAAGCGCACGCCCGGGATGTCCCCAACGGCGTGGCCCTTGCGCCCAAACCCGGCCACCAGCACCTCGTCGTTCTCCTGGGACAGCACAGGGACACAACAGGGACACAACAGGGGGTCAGCACCAGATTTAGCCCCAAAATCTCCCGTGGGAGCCTGGGAATGTCATGAATCTGTTTTTCACACCTTTCCCCCCTTCCTCGCAGCGTTTTAGGCCATTACCTCAATGAAGTTCAGGCAGCCATCGTTGGGGACGAAAGCTGTGATTTTTTTGCCGTTCTTAATGAGCTGCACTCTGACGCATTTCCTGATGGCCGAGTTGGGCTGCTTGGCTTCTACCCCCCTGCAAAGGGAACCAAGCAGCAAAGAAATCAGCGTGGGGGGCCAGGAGGGGCGTTAATTAACACAAAATTAACCTTTTTTGCCTTGTACTCAGTGTAAGTGGCATCTGTATCTCAACACCTGTGACCTAAGTCCTGAATAGTTAATATGTATTAATCTAGGTTTAGGCTACAATCCATAAAGTACCACTTCCTAAACCAAACAGAAAATATAATCTCTAACGTAATTCACTAAAATTCTAAAAGAAACACCCCCCAAAAAACAAAAACAAACAAAAAAAAAAAAACAAAAAACCCCCAAAAAAACAGAGACACTGCCCCCAAAACCACAGCTGTGGCAGCATCCCAATAAAATTTACAAATTATAGAAGAGGAGGAAAAAATAGAAGTAGGTAGGATCTATGACACACAAATGCTGCTTCCTTGCCATTTGTGCCAAAAAATCCTGATTATCACCTATACAAAAAAAAAAAAATAAAAATTGGCTTTTCCATGATATTTAACTAAAATCCCCAATTTTTTCTTACTTTTAAAAGAAAGTGATTTTCTCCAATTTTTGCCACAAATCCCGGTTTTCTGCAGTTTTCGAAAAAAAGCCACGTTTCTCATTTTGCTGTAAGTTGTGCATCAACTTTTACACTAATTTTACATGTTTTTACACTATGATCATTATTCCCCACCCCCCGCCCCAAATTTTTGGAGAAAAGCATCCTGAATTAATATTTTTCCTCATCCTCAGGGGAGCTGCGTGCAGGGGCTGGGGGAGGCCGATCCCCGCCGTCGGGAGCACCCACACTTTCTCCAGGACGATGCCCTTGGCGTGGGAAGCGCCGCCGAAGGGGTTGGCCTTCAGCGCCGTGCCCAGGTGCGCCTTCTTGTACTGCTTGTCGTGCCACTTCTGATCCCGGCGGTGACTGCGCAGCTTCCGAGCGGTGCGGAGGCCTCGGCACTTCCCTGCAGGGCGAGAGGTGAGGAGGGGAAGGAGCCGTGAGGGGAGAGCGGCGCGGCCATGAGGCGGCAAATGGCGGACGCGGCCTCACGGCCCGCAGCGCTGCCCGCGCCGCGCACAGCCGGCCGCGGGCGGGCGGGCAGAGCCGGCAGAGCCTGCGGAGCTCCGCGGGCACCGCCG